CAAAAATACAGTAGTGGAGACAAACGGTATCATGTCATATACACAAAAGATACTGGCAACAGGAACTTAATATACACAAGGTCCAGTACATCAGGAAGTGAACCTCCATGTTATCCCCTGGCGTGTAATAAACTAAACACCAAGGCAGAACCTGGCCATATCAAGAGAGAGTCGAGGTCCAGGAGACACAGGCTGCATAGAAAACAGAGAGGGGAGAGCCAGGTCCTGATACTGAGTCCCAGAAGTTTGCGTACTCAAAACCACAGCCTTGGTGTCAACACAAAGGCAGGACTGAGATGAGTCTACTGGTCAGTGTCAGCCTTCAGACTGTCAGCTACTCGTTTTAGCAGGTGAGTTGTGCTAGCATTAAATCCACTCCGCCGGTCCTTAATCAAGCACAGAGTACCCGGATTTATACTCTAGGGAAAGCTTCTTAGCCACCAGTAGCAAGCAGACCCCTGATGATCCTCACTGTGTGTCACTGCCTTAGCCAATCCCTTCTTTGGGGCTAGAAGCATCTTTAGGTGACAACATTAAAAAGGCAGTGTGTTCCAAGAGCCCAATGGGTGCATAAAACCCACTAGTACCAAACCTTATCTCTACTATGCTCTCTCCTATGCATACATGTGTACATTTAATTCATAAACTGGGCACACCAAGAGACTGGTGACAGCTGAGAATATGCTAATAAGAGTCATGTGCACTAAGGAAAGGGCTCAGCTGAAGTTCTTGCTAGGCAATCGTGGACCTAAACTCAATTCCCAGAACCAACATTTTAAATAAACAGCCATGGTGGCACAGTACACGAGGTAGTCACAAATCCCACACACAAAAAAAAATTGGTGGACCCACACAGAAGTATTAGGGGTTGTATTTACTGAGAAGTACAGAAGAACTGAGGGGTGACCCAAGCCTACTGTTAACGACTGGGAGCTTCTGAAAAAGCATTTCTCTGTTCAGTACTTGGGTTTCTGGACTATAGAACTAGCCCACGTGACAATTAGGCTCTCTACAGCTGAGTTGCCAGTGATTAACACCTGCAGGTATGACCTCCAACCCATTCTCTGAGCAAACCAAATCCCCTGGTCTTTGGGCTAGGTGCTACATATTCTAATAGCAGGTTAAATGATAGATACTTGTCGAACTAAGAACCAGAGTACAAGGATTGATAGCCCTTTGTGAACGACACTCTTTTTTAAAATTCCTTTATTTATTACAGTTTATTCACTTTGTATCCCAGCTGTAGCACCCTCCTTCATCTCCTCACAATCCCATCCTCCCTTCCTCTTCTCCTCCGATGCCCCTCTCCCAGTCCACTGTTAGGGAAGGTCCTCCTCCCCTTCCATCTGACCCTAGCTTATCAGTTCTCATCAGAACTGTTTTCATTGTCTTCCTCTGTGGCCTGGTAAGGCTGCTCCCCATTCAGGGGGAAGTGATCAAAGTGCCAGCAACTGAGTTCATGTCAGAGATGGGGCCTGTTCGCCATACTAGGGAACCCACTTGGATACTGAGCTGCCATGGGCTACATCTGAGCAGGGGTTCTAGGTTATATCCATGAATGGTCCTTGGTTGTAGTATCAGTCTCAGAAAAGACCCCTGTGCCCAGATTTTCTAGTTCTGTTCCTCTCCTTGTGGAACTCCTGTCTTCTGAGACTCATAGCCAAATTTTGGTCAGAGTGCAGGGAATCTTAAGAAAGAAGGGGGAGGTGAGCCACATTCTTATCCTTGATGCTCAGCAAGGGGCTTAGAGAACTAACCAGCCTGACGGAATAATAACACAGTTCACCAGACAAGGCTGAACTGTGGTTTCCAGGAAACAGAAACAGGAAGGAATGTGCAAAGATGTAGTAGCTCTGAGAAGGCTCAGTGGAGACACAATAAAGATCTGAAAAGTGTCGTGGGTGCTTTTGGAATGACTGGAACCGTAAAGAGCCTGCCCCCACAAAGCTAACAAACCACTCTCCATTGTGTTAGTAACAGGCTTGCGGTGGAGGATAGGATCGCTGATTCTTTTGAAAATCCAAAAACTAAAAATTGAAAGCAGTGCAAGGTGGAATTATCACACTACTTCTTTAAAGGCACTTTTTTACCTCAGTCTAGAACTTAAAGATGTTCTTAAGGAAAAAAAAAAAAAAACAACTTAATATCAAATGGGCCATTCTATACCTTAGAAAGATTAAACACAAATTGAGGTTACCTCTTAAATTATTAAGAAGTTCATCATTACATCAATAGATTACAATATCTCTAAATGATACAATGCAATTATAGTATATCCTTGATTACGATTCCTCTTCCCTTAGCAGAAAAGGGAAAAAAATCAATGGGAAGCAGAAAATTATCTAATTAAGCTATTCATACACTACAACAACATATATATACATATACATTACACAGAGCTGGTAAGATCTCCCTTCAACCTTGACTTTTATGTTTTCTATCGAACATTTTACGTGAAAGTCATACATTGATGAGGTGCATTATTTTTATTGTACTGCCACAGTCTTAGTTGGACTCATGTTGCGTAAATTGATTCAGCATTTCTTAACTAGAGAACATTTATGTTGTTTCCTATTTGTTGGCTTGGCTTTTCTTGGATATCACGTCTTTAAAAATATTTCTAAAAGTAAGATTATATGGGCAAAATATAAATAATGTTGAAGTCACTGTTGTAATTATTAGTCAATTGTTTTCTGAGGGGAAAAAAAAACTATTTAAAAAGTTACCAATATATTCAAACATTACTCTCCCCAATCTGTACCATCCCCAGTCACACACAATCACATCACAGTGCTGATATTTTTGGTCTAACGGGCATGTGAACCTGAGTTACCAGTAACCCTAAATCTCATTCATTATAATGACAGTCTAGAACTGTTGAAAGATCACTGATCAGGCAGGAGTATAAATTCTCATCTTCATAAGCATTCATGCTTTTTACAAGTTAAAGTTGGGGAGATACAGAAAAATGTAAAACGTAATTTAAAATTCACCTGTCATCCCAATATGCTTTTCCTTGTAGGATGTCATAAATAGTTTATTTTCTTTCTTCACCTCTCCATCACCCCTATCCTCACTAAAAGCCGTCACTACTAGCACGTGACACACATCAGGCCAGGATTTTGCCATGACTTCTCAGTACACCTGGGCCACAACAATCAATCACTGATTCACGCATCAGCATCTTTCTCCTTATGTATCTACACATCTTCTTTTCAAGATGTAGAGATCTACTCATACACTTGACAGTTGCATAGCACTGTGTGTTGTTATGTGGCGTAAGTTCTGAAAATGGAACAGAGAGGGACAATGGGAGCCCAAGCTGCCATCTGGAGTACATATGGAGTACATATATTACATTCATTTTTCTTCTAGTTATGAAATCATAGGTATCATCAACTCCCTTCCTCTTTGACCCTCCATTTCAATTATCCAAGTTCTCCTCACTCTGTCTCAACTCAATGCCTGTTGTCTCTATTTTGGAGACTGCCATCTTCCTAAGACCAGATGTGTCTGCTTGCAGACCACTACAACCGACTGTGACTTGACATTCCCTCGTTGAAGGAGGGGGTGAAGCGGGTCTCTGGACCCTCATCTGAGTATCCAGTGACTCTTCCCAGTCAGAGATTCTGCCTTAAGCTCCTGTGACCTTGAGTATCTAGGCCCGGGAAGCCTGTGAAGGGCCTCCATTTATGCAGCCATGGGAAGCCGCCATCCATAGTGGGTGTACACCTTCCAGGGGACCTGCTTGAAGCTTACCCATACTCCTGCCCATTACCCCTTGCTCATACTCTGTAAGCCTAATAGCCTCCTCATTGGTTCCCCAGGGTGAACTTTGGTGTAGTGGAACTTTAGTTTGTCATTAGCACCTTGGGAAGGATGGTGAACATTGTTCACATCTCCCCTTGGGGAAAATGCTCACAATATACTATCATCACAAAGTTGAGAGTCACTGAAGACCCGGCAATTTGGATGATAACCACAGTGCCTACAACAGACAGTTGCATAACAGGACTATAACTCTAGGAAGTAATATATAGGGGATAGGGGTTAGTTAGAAACCTAGGTGGGACCAGAAGCTTATAGAACACCAAAACCAATAGAATCAACTTTCTGAGGGAGGAGAAAACAAGAGGGAGATGTCCCAGAGACTCTCCTTTGTATGGCAAATGACAGAATTGTCCGTAGAGATTCCTTTATATAGTTGTTTTATACAGCTGTGGCTTCCAGGTATACAACCTCAGGTCATGCAGCTTAAGCAGCCGTGCTCTCGAAAGGGTATTCCATTAGAATGGAGGAAGAGAAAACAACACAGAAGAAGCAAGCAGTTCCCAGAGGCCAGCCTACAGGAGCTGCACATCTGCTCTCTCGGCTTCCTGACTTCAGGGAACTTGTGACCAGCTGCCTCGACTCCTACCGCCATAGTTAGTGGCTAAAGCCACTCTCACCACCACACCTTTCCTGCCATGACAGGCTGTCCCTCAAACTGTAAACCGAAATAACCCCTTCCTTCCTTAAACACAAAGTTCAAGGCCGGCGTGGGCTACAAAGTGAGACTCTTAACGCAAAAAAAAAAAAAAAAAAACAAACTTGTCATCAATACTGAGATAGCTTTAAATTAAAAAAAAAATAAGCAATAGGCTTAAAATTATTTGTACTGTATTAAAATTAACAATGTATTTATTGAAACAAAAGGTAGAAATATTTAAGCACTAAACTTAATTCATAAAAATGCCTTTTTCGGAAAACTAAAAATTTTCCCCAATAGAAGCACAGACCATTAAGTACATGAATCATTGTTGAGTTCAGATAGTATTTTCCAGGTTACATTATGTAAATTACTGTATCATTACCTCATCTTAAATTCTATGAATCATTATCTTTAGCGTTTATTTAAACTGGGCAAGTTCTCGCGCCCAATTCAGCACATAAAAACAATCTAACTGAACTTTTTCTCGGTACAACAAATGTCTGCGATTGCTTTAGACGAGAGAACACACCTGTTCGTTGAGCTCTCTCAGCTCCCCATCGATGGCTCTCAGCCGAGACTGCTGATCCCTTTGCTTTTTGTTGTCCCGGAGTATCTTTTCTCCTAGAGTTGGTTCCGTATTCTTCTCTTCTTCCTCGGGGTCAGGCTCCTAATTTAAAAGTAAAAGAGTTCACTCACAGGCTGGTCAAGGCATGGCTGCTATAGACTCCCCAACAGTGACAGAGACCTGAGAGTCCACTGCATTGTTCAAACAACCCCTCTTCCCTGCAACCCACGCTTATAGTTCTTTCAGGTTTTCCTATTTGAAGAATCAAGAGCCCAAACACACATGAAACAAATGGGAAAATAAACTCGGCACCTGAGGTCACCTGAAAAGGGGGAAGGTACATGGGGAAGGACCACGTCTGAGTAGGAGCCTGAGCCCCTCTGCTCAGTAGACAAACTGCAGCTTCTCTGGGCCCCGGGTTTGGCACATACATTTTATTTTCACTTCTGTCTTTAATTTCTCTAATTCTTTGCAAACTTCATACACGTATACAATGAACTAGGAGCATATCCACTCCCCAGTCACGCCTCCAACCCCTCCCCGGATCTCCCCCATGACGCCCATCTCCCAACTTCAAGTCCTCTCCTCTCCAGAAAAAAAATAACCCGCTAATTGTATTTCATGCTGCCCACATGTGCTCTGCTGTGGGGCCATCCACCGAAGCATGAACGATCCACCAGTGGCCACGCCTCCGAAGAAAAATGGTCCTCCCTCCCCCAGGAGCTATCAATTGCCAAAAGCCCCTCGGTCAGAAGCAGGGCCTCCTGAGTTCTTGTGCTGGAACTTTGGCTGCGTGGGACTGTGCAGGCAACCGCAGCTGCTGCTGTACCATGTAAATTCTCTAACTGTCTGTCCTTGTTATTAGAGGCGCATGTATAATAACTGGGAGAACTTAGAGCTGGCAGCGTCAGAAGCTTTGAATCTTGGTTCTACTTGGCTCCTGAGACGACATCACCGAGATGAATGAGCCTCTCTGAGCTCCACACTTACACTCTGTGAAATGAAAATGAGACCGAGCCAAAGTCATCGCGGCATATAATAGACCCACAGCCGATCTCCGTACCCGGACATGGCGTTTGGAGACAGGAAACAGTATATAAAGCAAGCATTTCATGACTGCTTCGTGGATGTCAATCACATGGTTCTTGGCAGAAGCATAGTCGCTCAAGGTTACTAGAATTTCTAGGTGAGTAGGAGTGGACACGTCTTGGTAGTAAGCTGATTCTCTAAAACTGAAATCCTCTCTTTCCCACAGGCATCCTCCTCCAGCTGCCGCACAGGAAACTGGCCTAAGAGACATCTCTGGCCACTTTCCAAGGGAGTTGGGTCCCTCTGCTTTCATTCCCTAGCCATAACTAGTCATCAAAAGCGCTCAGCATTCTAGTTTATGGTATTTCCCATAATTCCTTTTTCTTTCTTTTTTTTTTTTTTTGTTTTTGTTTTTGTTTTTGTTTTCTCCGCCTCTGAGATCAAGCTGGCCTCGAACTCACAGAGATCCGCCTGCCTCTACCTCCCAAGTGGTGGGAATGAAGGTGTGTGTCACCACAGCCCAGCAGCACCTCATTCTTTTTGCTGCCTAAATTCAGACCATTCACCAGTGAGTTTCAAATTCCAGCATGACTCAGCGTTATCTCCATGGTTGATGAACAAATGTGGAGGCCAGCCACTACCTGGGAAACACTGGCTCAAAGGCAATCGCTAACAAACTGACCACTTAAAACTCAACTATCTGAAGATTTGAGAGCTACTGATGTTAGAGACTGCTTCATACCCAGGAAAGGGCCTCAGTTCGGCCAGTCATCCCGTTGATTTCCTCCTCTACAGAGAACCAGTGCAGCAAGGCATGCTATGGCCAGGGCAGTGCCTAACTCCTCAGTCTCAGATTCATACCTCAGCCATACTCTCAGCTACCCTGGGGCCTCCACCCTCAACTCCCTTCAGAGACTAACTCATTTGGATCTAGCTCAGGCATATATCCATCCTAAAGTATTTGCTGATGTACCTAGAGAGGAAAGTCTGTTCTTAGGCCCATCTTACTCACTAGTTCCTTCACTGCTCGCTCGTACCACACATCACTTCCTGGGCAGCAGCATCACTGACCTTGCTGTGTCCCAACACACACTGGAACCCTGAGCCTGCACAAGCACTGACCAGTGAACCCTTATTTCGGCTCTCATAACTTTGATCACAATTAATGTTTGATCAGACTTATTTTGTCAGCAAAATTCACATTAGATAACATTCTCCTGAGCGGGCTAGTAATGTGGGGAGTTGGCTTCGTGTGTGAAAATGTTTACCACGAAAGCCTAACCATCAGAGTTCAGAAACCCAGGACCTATGAAAAAACTGGACATAGTGGAACAAGCATCTGAAATCTAAGCTGGCTCTGCCTTCTGTTTCTTGTCCCAAACTGTCTGGGAAGTGGGTAGGTAGCTAGCTTTGCGCAGGAATAAACTGGAAGAAAGTTTAACAATAATTAACTTGATAAAAAAATATTCTCATTATTGATCAATACTGGGAATATAGATCAGTGGTTGGACTTGACTAGCATACATGGAAACCTGTGTCCAGGGGAGGGGGAATGTGTGTGTATTCAGTACAACTTTACTAGCTTTTTTATGCTTCTTTAATTTTCTATAGTAAATGTGTTAATTTTATAAGCAGAGAGGCCATTTTCAAATGTTGAAGCAAACATAGCCTTCCACCAACCCTACTTCTGTTCTGCTCTGATAGTCTCTCCATGCTGAATACATGCAGGCCTGGAGGTCAGACCTTGGCTCTGGCTCTGCTGGAGCAATCAGGCGTGCAATTAAGATGCCACACCTGCCTGCCTTTCGAATCTTAACTTCTACTGCCTTCTCTACAGTCCTCTGTACTAGGAGTTGAAGGGTATGTGAGACCTTTCCTTATGCACACTCTTTGACACCAGAACCATCTAGTTCAAGTATCTGAAGAACACCATTTCATGAAAACAGGTCAAGAGGAAGTAATAAAAAAAATTAATTACTGGTGCTGTCAAGTGACCTTGCTGCAGATTCAACAAAAGCCAGGTGCTGGGGGGAATTCTTTTCTGACAGCAAACACCAGTCTTCATGATCTTTGAAAATTAATTCAGCAGATTCTCCAAGCAATAGATTGTTTCTGTGGCCGTGAGACAGTCAAGAAGGATTTTACAGAGAATTCGGCAAAGGTTCTCCTTGATGTAGCAGGAGTGTCTAATGGCAAAAAGAATTAACCCTAAGGTAAATTGATATTTGTTATTCTGACTAATTGATTGCCAAGAGATTCTGAGTTTATCCTTTAAAAAATATCTGTGATGTTGGCTGAGCCAAAAGAGGCCTTTGAAGCTAAGTACACTCACATTTCATAAGTCAAGTACAAAGGATATTACTCAGAGCTCGCTAAATTATTTGATATTCAAAGAAGCCATGCGTTAAGGACACAGACCTGTGTGTATAATGTCAGCCCACCCTGCGATGTCTAGGCTCACTCTTTACATGTCCATAAGCCACTCCTATTTCTTGCTTCACATGGCTCAGTTGTCCAAATATACTGAAGAAAACCTTTCAAAGGGACTGTTTTCATCATCTTGGAAGATGACCATGAAATAAAAGAAATCTTGCTGGCATTGGAGGCATCACAGGAAAACAAAATATAAAATTCAAAACAATTTGTGAAAAAGGGGAGCAAGAGCTATTTCCCAGATCAAAATGAGAATTCTGACAGCCTGGCTCTAGAAGCAAGGATTGCTGAAGTAAGTTCATGCTTATTCCTTAGTGAAAGCCCAGTGCTCCTGAGACACACTGCCACGGTTTCTGGAGGGAGGTAAAGTCAAGGCTTCTAACTATCATAGACTGAGCGGTGACTGCATTCCTGCTTTGAACCTGTGCATTAAATCTAGGGGAAAATGGCCTTGTCAGTATACATTTTTCAGGATTACATGTCAAACAGAGCTCAATTACTCCTAAATTTTAGCTAGTGTTGAGAAAGAAACAAACAAGCCAAATTCATTGTTGCTGTCAGCAGTTGTGTGATTCTGGCAAGAAAAGAGATGAATATAAATACAATTTTCTTCAGCCAAATAGTTAGTAGTTTTGGTTTATTTTTTCTTTGTTTCGTTTTGTTTGTTTTGTTTAGTTTTACCAAACTGTGTGAAAGAATTAATATTCCAAGCACAGGATAATAAATCAAGTTAAGGAGAGCCATTATATTCAATTAAATTAGTTGGTTTGAGAACAAAGAAATACCTCTTGTCAGTGAGACCCATTTCTGAAGACTCTTCTTTGACCAGGGAAAGGGGGAGGAACTCTAGCCATGAAGTGGAATTCTAGATTTAGTAAGACTGGTCGCATGAGAGATTAATAAACTCTATGTCTTTACAAGAGCCAAAAAAGAATAGCATTTATTATTGAATCCAGTTGCTGAGAATTTAAGAGACTGAATGTTACACAACTCTCATATCATAGATATTTCTGGAGAAGGCTGGAATCTACTCTATCTATAAATGAGAAAAACAAAATTATGTGCCATCACTCAGTTTTACAGGGTGATTTCCAATACGGAGAAATGACTGACTGGTTTGTTGGCAAGTCAGCAGATAGAAAAGCACAGGTAAACACAGTTAACCCACAGATCTTATGAACAAAAGCAGCTTCGATTGGTTCTCTGGCTCTGATAAAATGGGAATTAAAAGCACATGAGAAAACGGCAACCACATGATATTGTTAATATTACAGCAGCAGCAAAAATAGAACATTCTTTGTTTTAAACGTGGCCACATGCTTTGTTTTCACAGAAGATAAATGCTGCTTTTAAATGTTTTCAGAAGTTAGAAGTGCCGGGCATGTGGCTGATATAAGGATGGTCACAACCAGCAACTCCTAAGGGCCAGAAGTGTGGCACTTCCCACACCCCTCGCAATGAGCAGAGCTTTGCTAATCATTTCTAGAGACCCTCAAAGCATGGGTTTCCCTCCCTACTGACTTAACATCACACAGAAACCACAGAAGCTACATCAGGGAGCCTGTGTCTCAACTTACCCAGAAAACCATTTTCTTGACAACATGATACAGACTGTTAATGGAAAATGGAGGACCCAGAGAAAACAATGCCTGCCACCCAGGTCAGTCTGCCCAACTAGCTGACACCAAGGAATCAGGTGAAGTGTTGCCACATTTTCTAACTTTTCAAGGAAAAACTAGAAATCAGCATTTTCGTTTGAATTCACCTAACTTTTAAATGTTGAGCACAAACATTTGTAAACACTTTGTGGGCCTACTGAAACCCATCTGTGAATTTCACTGGCCCCACCACCTCCGGCTCCAACCTTGCGCTATGTGGTGGCAGTCTTCTGTGGCTTTTCTGAGGTGGGTTCTGGGAATCAAACTGGGGTAGGTCCTCATGCTTTCACTTTCGAGGCAGACTTTTGAACGGCTGAGCAATCCTGGGGCCTACAGTTTGCATTTTCTAAATAGTGGAGTGGAAGTTTAACAGAACCTCTAATCAATGCCCTGGTACACAGAACAAGGGCTAGAGCTAAAACAGGAAGCAGGGCTTTTTAAAAATGACTGTTTCTTTTTCCATTTTTTTCTTTTATTTTTGAGATTATAAAATAATTAAATCATTTTCCCTCTTTCCCTCTCTCCCTCCCTCCAAACCCTCTTATATAACCCCTCCTTTCTCTCTTTCAAACTCATGGCCTCTTATTATTTTATTGTTTGTTACATGCATATATATATATATATATATATATATATATATATATATATATATACACACACACATATATATCTTCTTAAACATGACCTGCTTAATCTAAATAATGTTACTTGAAGCTTTTGTGCTCCAAAGTAGTCAAATTTATCTTTAAGCCACTGTAACTCCTAGTATACAGTAAGCCCTCATTAATTTTTGTTGAATTGTTTTGAAAGTAGAAACTTAAGAGACTGGGAAGATGGTTCAGCTGTTGAAAGTACGTGCTGCTTTTGCAAAACACTCAAGAGTGCCTCACAGCTGCCTGCAACTCCAGCTTCAAGGCTCTGATGCCCTCTCCTGGCCTCTGCTAGCATCTGCATGCACATGCACACACACAAACACAAATAAGGCTTTAAGTAGGAACTTATACTCCATTTAAAAGACATTCTTCTAAAGATTCATGAAGAAAAACTACTGATGAGCCTAACAGTCTTCAGAAGAATGAAAATAAAGTGATTCAAATGCTAAGTGTTTGTGCTCAATGACAGACTGGAACCCATTCATTCACCGCCTACATGGAGATAAAGAGCTATGCATTCTTCTCAGTGCTCTTACTCAGAAGATGTCACAATCCAAAAATAATTAACCCAAAATCATTTGCCAGGTTTGTATTTCTACATGAAAGTTGAGTGTGCAGTGCTGGCTTGAGCTAGAAGCTCCAGGAGGAAACTGAACACACGTCCAAATGATAGACTGTTTTGCATGGGAAAAAAAGCATCAATTTCTTCTTTTCAGCCACTGGTATGTTCCTGTTCTGTTCATGCATTCAGTGGAAATCCCAAATGCAGTTTTCTCTTTTCTTTGTTTAAAAAAAAAAAAGTGCTATTTCACATAAAACTGTATGATCTCAGTGTACAACCAAAGTCGTCCATTGATTTTTTTTTTCCTTTTCTTATGTTTCAAATAATTTATGTAAACTCTGAAAAATGTGATTTAGATGATGATAAAAGCTAGCAAAGACTCATAGCTTATCTGATGTTCTTAGGCCTGAACAGATCTCTGAATTCTCAACCTTGTTCAAGAAGAATGCCTGACAGCCATGACAAGGACAGCTTGTCTTCAGGAACACCGAAGCTTTAGCTCACAGCTCTGCTAGGAATGCATCCACAAGTCAGATGAAAGAGGAAAAGAAAGAAGGGACCTCTGGGCAGTTTTATGGTCCATCTTACCTGTCTCTTACCGAAAAGCAAAACTTAGTGAAACAAGCAAAACGCACTCTAGTAACTTGTGTCAAAGACCCAGGGCTCATTCATTTACAGTGCAAGTTCCAGTCCTCTCTTTCCAGGAACTCTGACCCCAACCCAGCAATTAGTGTTGGGAACAACACCTCTACCTCAAGGGTTAGGAATGGCCCCTCTTGGTCCTTAGAAGCTGCAACAGCTCCCCAAAGGTGCCGCCCATACTGGACGGCACAGAACTTTGGGACAGTTCATTTTGACAGGCTCTTTGGCTGAGGTAGTTTCAAACTGGTCCATGTCCAGATCCCTAACCTTCAGTTAGCAGCTAGTATCTTCTAGAATAAACTTATTATAAGTTAGTGACACTTGAAGTTTTTGAAAAACAAAAACAAAACAAAACAAAAAAAAAGCTCCACAGTCATCAGTAACTATGAAAATTGATTTGGTGAGACTTATAAAGCTGGAAGAGAGATAGCAAAATCACACACATACACACACACACACACACACACACAAACCAAGACACTTTCTCTTCATACTACCACCCAACCCCCACAAAAGAGACCTTTGGAACTGGAAGGTAGAGGCGCAAGGAAGGAACCTCACTGTGTAAAGCGCTGTCCTTCCTTCTCTGTTCTCTACACTTTGTAAGAGAACTTTGGAAGGAGCCATTCCCACTTATTGCAAAGCTGCCAGAGACACTATCACAGTAAAGCTTCATTCTTGCTACTAAGGGAGTCAGAAGAACATGACAGAGTAAGGGCCCATGACTGGCTCTGCTCACATCTAATACCAAAGGAACAAGGAAAGGAAAAGTTGTCAGGGACTAATGAACACTATTAATTCTCTTCCTTCTTTCTAGTCATGATCAAGAACTATATTAAGCCATAAAGATATGAAAATATTAAAATAAGTAGCTTCTCAATTGCCCCATCCCAGCATATTCCCAACGGAAAGAAAAATGAATAGAAAGTAGAACTAACACAATGAACACACACGGCTGACAAAACTAAAATGTTTGCAGTTGTACTCACAAAAGAGCAATTGGGAAGAACCCTCTTCCGTTGATTAGAAAGCATGTGCAGTAGCTTTTGCATTAACCTCAACAGTCTGCATGTTATTGAGTTAAACAAACCATCATTTGGCCAGGCGTAGTGGTGCATGTCTTTAATTCCAGCACTTGGGAGGCAGAGACAGGAAGATCCCTGTGAGTTCAAGGCCAGCCTGATCTACCCAGTGAGTTCCAGGACAACCAGGACTACAAAGAGAGACCCTGTCTCAACTCCCTTGGCCCCCTCAAAACAAAATATACCTTATTGCTCTGACTTTCGAGTCTTGGAGAAAGGCTGAAGACGGTTGGAGAGACTACAGAGAATTCCTGAAGCTTTGTGTCAATCTCAGCAAGTTGCTGAGACACGGTGTCGGCAAGGGTATAGCCTTCTCCTGGGACCAGCCAACCACACTGATCGCCCTAAGAGGAAACCAAGGTTACCAGGTCATTCCCAGGCCACAATCGTTTCAGAACATTCCTTTTAGACAGAGCTCTCCATCAGAGCCCAGAGGGCTTACAAAACACAACACCACAGACCAGGGAGTAAAAGGTAAGCAAAGGTTACAGTTTTATTCTCTTCCCACCCCGTACAACGTGTCTACTGATGGTCTTTGTGGAGTGTCTCAGCCTCATAGACCAGTCCTCTTTCACATAATCACTCTTCCACTTTAGGAGAGAAAAAAACACAAAGAAACATGTTGAGAAGAAATAGCTTTAACCAATCATAAATAACGATATTTTCAAACTTTTTCCCAATAAACCAAAATAATTTGGTCTAAACTAGCCTTCATGCCCAAATAAATTTTGTCCCAAATCTTAATGCGTAGTGAACTACACTTACCTTAAGATATAAACAACCAATCACCACAGCCACTGAGCTGGCTCAGTGACTAAGTGCTAGTGCTGTTTCTGCAAAGGAACAGAGTTTGGGTCCCAGCACCTACATCAGGGAACTCACAACCGCCTACAGCTCCACCTCCAGGAGATCCAGTGCCTTCTTTTGGTCTCTGTGGCATACACACATACAGAGCATACATATATACACATACATAAAAATAAATCTTTAAAAAATAAGACCCGTTTATAGAACCCACTCAAAAACGTCCCACCAAACGGTTACTGCACATCAGTATTTACCGAGCAAAGGCAAATCAACCCAAATGTGCACAAAGTGTGCACCCAGGAGTTCTCAGACTCAGGGCAGCACAACTGAAACAACGTGTGAAAGGTGATAGGTTGGATGAGCCCAGTGAAATGGAGGACTCACTTTGTCAGCGGGTGGGGAGAGGCGGTACTCCCTCTTCTCTGCCTCATCTGGGGAGCCCAAATCCCTACACCCTCTGCTTCAGCAAGTACCTGGGATCCCTGGAGTGCCTTCCTATGCAATTGAGGTATCTCAGTACCTTAGCCCTTCAGCCAATGACAGTCACCCACCCTGGATTTCGCCCCCCCTCCCGAAAGTGCTACATAAACCTCCTTCACCTTGAATAAAACTCATCTGCATCCCAGAAGCTGATCCAGGAAGTTTTTTTCCATTTATGCTCACAGGCCACCAAACCCACAGTTCCTCCCCTCTGTTCCCTTGTTTATTAGGACCAGTGGCCAATGACCCCAGAAGTGAGGGAGGCTGCAGTGGTGCTCAGCTGTGGCATCTGCACACCAGAAACCTGACCTAATGTTTATTACATTGTTGTGTTTTTTTTCACAGTAAAATAATAATAATAACTGTAAAAAGCCTAAAAGTCTAAAATTACAAGGAAAGCAGTATTACCTAATTAGTCACAAATAAGAAACTGGTTTATTATAAAAACAGTTTATAAAACCACATAAAATTATAAAATTGATATAAACACTGACTGATCTAAGTGATAAATAATTACCAAAACTTAAATTATAGAATCAATGACTAAATAGCAATTAATTTAAAACTCTTGCCTGAGTGAAATTATTTTTAGTGAAGCTAGAGCTAAAGGAACCTACTGATGAAACCCAACAGAAACACTGATGTCCAGGCACCAGGCAATTGCAGCAAGAAATTTCATATATTAAACGGAAGGTAGCATTGTCTGGTGCTGCCTGTCTAGAAAGCACCACCTAAACACTGTTGGCCTGTGTGGGAAGCATAAACTTTCTGGCTTGCAGGAGGCTCACCTCCCTGAGATAGAAACCATAGATGACCTCTGTAACCCCCTTTCCCATTTAGGTTCAAGCAGGTAGCTTAGTGACCCCCTAGCCAGGCTCATCCACTCACTTGTATAAAAGTGAGTAGTCTGGGAGGTAACCTAGAACCCATGCACAGATGTGACCCATGACAGCTCAGTCTCCAAGTGGGTTCCCTAGTAAGGGGTACAGGGGCTGTCTCTGACACGACCTCAGTGGCTGAGCTCAGTGTCATCAGTCTCCAGCCTCCGCAGTCACACACGTGGACGTACACACACACGGCACTACACAGTCACTGGGTACATACACAATTAAAAAAAAATAACTCCTAAACTACAAGAAACATACTGTTTCAATGGTTTAAAAAAAGCCTTTACCTTTTTAGTTTCAAAGACAGAAACTAAAATTTCTGATGATTTCAACATACCTACGATGAAAAAAAAAAAGAGAGAGAAAACCAATCCTAGAGAAAACCAATCCTACCACAGAAAATAGTCTAGTCAAAATGTGAGATTTTAGGACTATTTCTGACGTTGAGGGATAACAACAATACCAGGTCAGAAATAGGACTGGATTCCCAAAGAATAGGAGAGAAAAATAGTAAATGAATTAAACAGATCAAATATTACCATTAAAATAGATAATTTGAGCCAGGCGTGGTGTCGCATACCTTTAATCCCAGCTCTCTGTGAAAAAAACAAACCTACTCCATTTTGAATTGGGCTGCATGTTAAACCTTAGGTTTCCATTTCCCAGAAAGGTACCACAGGCTTCTTGGAGACCACTGAGGACAGGCATCCAATCAGTGATGGATCTAGCCAGAAACTAAGTCAGTCAAACAAAGAAAAGTCCTTATGAGGTAATCCTCTCTCTCTCCAAAGCAAGAGCCAGGCCTACTCGGAGTCACATAGCCTCCATGAGCACCAGCCAGTCCCAGTCGGAGTCAGACAGCCACAGTAGAAATTCCCCTAAAGCCTTTAACGAGCCTGCACGCTCACTTCAGGGATGCCATGTTGTCTGAATGGTCAGCCCCTGCATGCGAGTTGTTTCTTCAGAATAAACACTCTTTGAGTCTGGGGTCTTCCTTCAGTGTTTCTTGGACCCTTATTAGGAGACAGATCTCTGTGAGTTTGAAGCCAGTGTGGTCTACAAAGTGAGTTCCAGGACAGCCAAGGCTACACAGAGAAACCCTGTCTCAAAAAAAAAAAAAAAAAAAAAAAAAACACATACACACACACACACAAACACACACACACACAATTTGAAGTCAGGAAATGTTCCAAATATTATCAGTAATCATTCCAAATAGCAGCAAAAAATCATTATAAATAACAAAGATATTGCTTGAATTGATATTATAAAGTTTAAAACATGCAAGGGATAAAACATAAATATTAAGCCAATAGGCCAAAAGCAGTATTAATCACAAATACGTATTTTCAAAGCATAACAAGAAAAGTTGAGAGAGAGGCCACATACTGCCAGCCAGACAACAGAAAGGGACTTGCCCGCCTTTATAGTTAATAACAAAGCTGAAAATGAGGCCTTGGAATCTAATTCCACCCCATGGCTTTTAATAAAATAGGAGGATTGCTATAACTAGCAAAGCAGAAGTAACCTCAGAATCTCACGGTGCTTATCAGTGTGTTTCACCCAGCCCTCACCCCTGGCACCCATAGGACCCCCAGAGCTTGTAATCTCTAAGGCTCTGCCATTTGCTTTGGATTTGGAGCAGGGGTGACATTATGTCTGGCCACACAGAATTTTCCCAAGGAATTAATTGTTGACATTAAACACGTTTCCCATTTAAAAATCTGTTTTTCTAGCTTCCCTCAAAAAAAAAAAAAAAAAAATCCTGGCAGCCAGGGTATTCATGGAGCTAAGGCCCCATGTTCCCCGGCAAGTCCTCCCCTCAGGCCACAGCTATCACTGCGTTTACTGCTCTTGAACCTGCGGCAAACACTCTCCTCTGCATCTGACTGGGCTGGGCTCCCATTTGGCTGCAGGCTATCTGACACACAAACAGATAGCAGATGGAGGGGATGTGGGCAGGGCCCAGAAGCACAGGTCCTATCATACCCTTGGTTCAGCAGAGGAAAATAAAAATCAGGCCAGAGTGCCAAGCGCTCCAGGTAACACAGGAGGACATCATTCTCTGCGGGAATAGAAAGCAGGCCTCCATAACATGGCAACTCCACAGCTAACAGCGGAGAGAAGGCCGCTGCACTCTGGAGGGACATCTGCCGTTACTCCTACAGCAGCGGTCTCACCCCCGCTCTCCAGGAAACTGGACGGTGAAGACTAACTGGGCAGGAGCAGAATAGCATCCCAGAGGATTATAAAGGCCACACTAAAATACTGTGAAGCCAGAGCGGATGAAAAGAGGGCACAGGAAAACACATTCTTATGGCATCTGTAACTATACCTAGCATGCCACTTCAGAGTCACTGAACTGACCAAGAATAATTTGAAAGCGTTAGGATTTGTAATGCAGAGAATGTCTTCTAACTAGAAAGATGGTAAAACTGTGCTAAGAACTTGATGACACAATAAAGATTATGAAAAGTAAAGTCCTTGACAATCAAGTTAATATACCTCAGAACTGGACAGTCCTGAATCTGTGTCATCCAAGCCTCTCAGGAGTTCATCCAGCCTCTTCTTCTCCCTGTCAATCATAACCACTGGGCTTCTTGAACTCTTGGCCAACTACAAGATGTATAAGTAAGAAAGTTACACATGCAGTGCAATATGCAGTCCAGTAGAAGTAAATGAGTATTCTACAAAACAGACACACTAAATTAAAACCTGAAATTTTGAAAGAAATAGAATAGGATAGGAGAAGAGCAGTGCAAAATGGGAGACGTGGTATAATTAGGCTAGAAAGCAGTGAGGATAAGTAATATTTCAAAAAGCTTTTCTTTTGTTTATATATATACTAAAGCAATTACCCACACGTTCATCTTGACAAAAGATGTATTTCAAGACCCTAAATGGCTGAGATGTCTCAGTGGGTAAGAGCACTTGCTGTGCAAGCATGAGGACATGAGTTCAAATCCCAAATACCCATATAAAAAGCTAGGTGGGCACCTATAACCTCAAGAGTTGTCAAGAGGATTTCTGAGGCTTAGTAGCCAAAGGCCTCACTCCCGGGCCAGTGAGAGACCCTGCCTCAAAGAAGTGAGACAGAGTGGCAGAGCAGGACACCTGACCTCCTCCTCTGGCCTGTGCACCCGCATATGCACACAAACACGTGCTCTACCCACATTCACACACAAAGACACACACAAAAAAAATTACTACGACCCTTTCTGCTACTGGCTTACCCCACATTCTGTCTCTTGAATTGTGAGAGACCCACCTCAATGTTTCGCTTAATAAAGTCCTGGCTGTGTTTACTCCTAGGCTCAATCCTTTCTGTATTCCTTTCTGTTTTGACCAATGGCTCAATTTTTTCCACATCACAGGTAAAATCTAGTATTGAAAAGGTTCAAAATGATCTCATGATTACAACTGTGAATCACACTAAAAAATTCACTTTAAGTATACATTAAAATGTAATTTAGAAACACACACAGAGGAACGAATTTTTAAATTCTAGACCCAGAAACGTAATATGGACTTTTTCTTTCATTTATGTTTATTTTCTCCCCATCTTCTCTAAGCCAAATTTCTATCTGCTACAACCTACTTTTTAAAATAATTTCTAATTAAAATACAATTACATCATTTCCCCTTCTCTTTCTACCTCCAACCTCTTCCCCAACCAGGTATTTGTCTTCCTCTCTTTCTCTCTCAAATCATGGCCTCTTTTCCTTTAATTGTTGAGACATATGTATCATAAATGCATATATAAATGTAACCTGTTCAGTCTGCATAAAGTTACATTTACGATGTTATTTCAGGGCTGACCACTAGGTATTGGATAACCAATTGGAAGGCTCTTTCCTGAAAATAACCTATTTCTTCCTCTCTCCCAACCAGTCAAAATGCAGAAAACAGATAAAGGTGGAGTATTTAACCCCAAAAGATACATCTATGAGACAGTTCCTGCACTGTTGGGAAGAGGAAGCAGAACGACTGTAGAAGCCAGAGGATTAGGGGGTCTGCAGCCTACTTTTTCAAAGCTCCGGTAAGAGAATGCAATAATGAAGTTCCGGCAAGTAACTTCAACATGGATCAATTCCCAAAGGATTATGTGCCATGTTGGTAGGGGCAGGGGTGAACCTAGGGCCTTTCATGTGCAAGGCAAGTTCTCTGTCATTGAGCTACATCCTCAGCCCTTGCACCTCACCTTGAGCTCTAGCTACTACCTCTTACCTGGCCACTACTCTAAATTATACCAAGACCCCTTCATCCACAGCAAATTTGTATACAGCCAGCATCCCCTTGTGGCAATCTATATAATCACACAAATTAAACATACCCTTCTTGACATTCTTTGCATGCTTTTCGTAAGTTTCTATAGGAATCTGAGTGTGAAACACTGAGAAAAGGGTATCTTCAAATTCACAGCGCACAGGCTCTACTATAAAAGAAAAAAAAAGGACTTGTTCAATCTACACAAAATAAAGTTATCTACACAGTTGCTTTAAGGAAGAGAGAGGATTGAAGGGTCGTTCTGCTATTCCTCAATCCCCTCTATACACATGAACTGTTAAAAAAAAAAAGTCAGTGTCACTCCCAAGTTGAAATGGCAATCATCTTCACATGCACCACGAAAACGGACTGCAGAGGATGGCCAGACAGCACTGCCCTAGACACTCGAGCGCACACAAGAGCATCACCGCTCTCCAGAGATGACCTGTGCAGGCCACAGAGGTAGCACAGACAGCAGGCACACCCGGTAACAGAATCATCCCCCTTATTCCAGGCCTTCAGGTTGAAGATTTTAAACGTATGCTCAGCCATTAACGGAATGTCTTTGAGTAAGGTATGGTGGCGAATACCTACGATTCAAGGAGGCCCAGGAGTTTGAGTTCAAGGTCATCCTCTGAAATACAGCAAGTTCAAGGCCAGTCTGGGCTGCATAAGACTTTGTCTTAAAAAAAAAAAAAAAGACACAACATACAAAATGGCTCTGGGAAGCCAAAGCACTCGTGAAAGCCTGATGACCTGAGCTCCATCCCAAGTAAGGTGGAGGGAGAGAACTGACTCCACAAAGTGCTCTGACTTTCACACATGAGCCATGGCATGCTCTCCCACCTACCTATGTGTACATGTACACACACACACACACACACACACTTTTTTTTTTTTTAAGAAAGAGTACATTTTGGAGACTTACGGAAGTTTGTGTTCTTCTCTTGTCATTTCTTCTCTTGAGCTAAACTCTATGAAGGAAGGAGGACCATTGCATTGTTCAGCATTTTTCGTTTAACTGTGATTTTTTTTTTTTAAATGTTCTCACATCAGCTAATTCAATTACTGTATATCTATGTTCTGGCTAGTTTTAGGTCAACTTGACACAAACTAGAGCCATTCGAGAACCGGGGCTCTCGATTAAGCCGTTGTCTAAGGTCTGCTTACAGACAAGTGTGAGGGAAGGCGCAGCCCGCTGTGGGTGGTGCTATCCTGTGCGTGTGGTCCTGGATTCTACAAGGCAGCTTGAGCAAGCCAGGAGGAGAAGGCAAGTAGGTAGCACTCCTCCATAGCCTTACCTCAGTTCCTGCATCCAGGTTCCAGCCCTGCCTGAGTTCCCGCCCTGACTTCCCTTGGTGATGGAACTGTCCCTGAAAGTGCAATTGAAATGAACCCTTTCCTCCCCAGGGTGTTTTTGGTCATGGTGTTCTCCCACGGCAACAGAAAACCAAGACAATCTTCAAAATCAATTTTCTCTGTGCCTTAATATAATATGTTGAATCTGCCAGTTTGTACCACAGAAATCTTTTGTTTTAAAAAGCATGGCATGCATGGTGGTACATGTTCTTAATCCCACCACTCACCAGAAGCAGATGGATCTCTGGGTTAGAGGACAGCCTGACCTGCATAGAGTTTTCCAGGACAGCCAGGGCTACACATTCAGACTCTGTCTCAAAGCAAAACAAAACAGATCACATGCTATCATGAAATTAAAAATGATAACTTGTTTTTCATGAAAATTAAACATTTTGGGACTGAAAAGATGGCTCAGTTGGTAGCACCTCAGTTCAATCTCTAGAACCCATGCAAAAAAAAAAAAAAGTCAGATGTGGAAGTGCATATTTGTAACCCCAGCTTTGGGGAGACAGAAACAGAAAGATCCATGAGACTCACTGGCCAATCAGCCTTGCTGAATCGTTGAGCCTCAGGTCCCAGTCACAGTCTCTAGTTCCAAAAATCAATCAATCAATAAGTAAGGTTGGCAGCTCCTGAGGAACAAATGATGACTAGCTGTAACTGTCCACTTGACACAACCTAGAATCACCTGGGGAAAGAGCCTCAAAAGGGGTTCTCTACATAGGATGGGCCTGTGAGCATGTTTGTGGAAGACTGCCTTATATTAACTCATGTGAGAAGGCCAAGTCCACAAAGGGCAGCACCATTCCTTAGGCAGGGTGTGGAGAGCGAGCGGCAGGGGGTTAAGCTGCATTGTCATGTTTTCTCCTTGGCCTTTACCTTGACAAAGAAAGGAGGAAGTTTTGCCAAATTCCTTGAAAGCTTGTCTGTGTGACCTTGGACCATAACTGCTTTAGGGAATTAGTTTTAGAATGGGACTTTATCTGCTATAGTGAGGTAGTTTTTGAAATGGAAGTTGGGCGGTTCCATGAACCTTTTCTTTTTGAATTAATGAGACTTGTCTTTGCTCTTACCTATAAAAAATGAACCCTGGAATAAACCCAGGCTGCTTCAATCATACTGACAGCCCTCTCAGGCCATCCCGTGTGTAGTGTGATTTGTTTTAATTATTTTAAATCCTCACTCCCCACCCAGTTAAACTCCCCATACTGTTAGACTCTGCCAGCAGACTCTGGCAGTTTGGCACTAGAACCAGGGACCTGGGATATGGGGAAAGCAGTGAAGGACACCGCGGTGTTGATAAGCTCAGATCATAAAGGGGTGCGGTGAGTAAAACTGAGAGTAAAAATGGGACAAGGCAGTAGTGTTGTGTTTTTTGTATGGTCTTCAATTAGAGACAGTCTGTTTCTGTGGCACAAGACAAAGAAAGTGAGGAGGAAAGACAAACAGGAGGCTTCAAAACAAAATAGGATTAAACCATCGGCTCCTCCTGAAGAGTTCTATGTCTCTTCTGATGATGATAATTCTTTGCTAGAAGAAGACTCTGAAGATGACTCAGATCCTGACGAGGTTGCAGGGCTGGAGGATTCTGAGAGATATCCTCTGGATTCAGGCTATGAGTGTTAAAAAACTTGAGCCTTGGCAAAAAGAAATTAATAAGCTGGAATGGGGCTTGGAGGAAATGAACAGAAAAAATGGAGAATTAATGATTAGGGAAAATAAGGCTCAATCCCCCATTTCAACTCCATCATTGATTGCAGGCGTGGGCCCTCCTCCTGGGACTACAACAGCAGCAGTGGCCCAAAAGACAAGGGGACTTTTTCTTTTGTACAGGCAACTGTATTCCCTTTGCAAGTTTCTTTACAAGAGGTTAGGCAGAATGGAGAAGATATCACTGAGTTTTATGGTTTTCCAGTGCTAGAGCAGCCTGATGGACAGGGTAATAAGGTGAGAGTCCATGCTCCTATTTCTTTTAAACAATTAAAAGAATTAAAAACTGCATGCTCTCAATATGGTCCTACAGCACCTTTTACTCAAGCTCTGTTAGAATCCTTGTCTATTGAGGCCCTCTGCCCAGGGCACTGGAAGAAATTAGCAAGAGCATGTTTATCAGGAGGGGATCATTTATTATGGGAGCCTTACAACCTGGACTACCTACCCCTTCTGCTATACCCAAAGATACTTTTAAGATTATACTAGATTTAAAAGATTGTTTTTATACTATTCCTCTTGCTCCTGAAGATTGTAAAAGATTTGCTTTTAGCATGTCAACAGTAAATTTTAAAGAACCTATGAGAGGTATCATTGGCTTGTACTACCTCAAGGTATGGTAAACAGTCAAACCTTATGTCAAAAATTTGTGGCCCAATTAGACAAGCATATACTTCTGTGTATATTATTCATTATATGTATGATATTTTATGGGCTCACAAAAATGACGGGATTTTATTAAGTGCTTTTGCACACTTACAAGCTTTGAAATATCTATTTAGTAGTTGCACCAGAAAAGGTGCAGACTGAGCCACCTTATTTGTATTTGGGACATAAATTATACCCTCAGACTATTATGCCTCAAAAAATTCAATTAAGGAAAGACAACCTAAAAATTTTAAATGATTTTTAAAAGTTGTTAGGTGGTATTAAATGGCTTAGACGCCATTTGAAATTAACTACAGGAGAGCTGAAACCACTTTTTGACATTTTAAAAGGAGAGGCTGATCCTTTGTCAAAAAGGGAACTTACCAAAGAATCTCGTGATGCTTTGCAAAAGATAGAATTAGCTATTAAAAAGCAACATGTTTAATATATTGATTATTCAAAAAAATGGGTGCATATATTTTGGCTACTGTTCATACTCCCACTGATGTATTGTGGCAAGAAGGACCATTATTTCAGTTGCACTTGCCTGTTTCTCCTGTGTGAGTTTCCTGTGCGAGTTCTAACACTGTATTATGAAGCAGTGGCTACTTTAGTTCAAATGGCTCACATAGAATCTCGCAAGTATTTTGGTAGAGAGCCTTCCTTTTACCAAACAGCAAGTAGATTGGTTATTTCAAGCACATTATTGGGCCATAGCTTTTGTTCATTATTTAGGATGTATTGACAATCATTATCCAAAAGATAAATTACTTCAATTTTCCAATGAGCATGCTTTTGTATTTCCTAAAATAATTAAACAAAAGCTATTACCTCAAGTTCCAACAGTATTCACAGATGGATCTTCAAATGGAAAGCTGTATATATAGGGCAAGGACAAACTTTTGTTTTGTAAACATTGCCAGCCTCAGCTCAAGTTGTAGAATTGCAAGCTGTGGCTGCAGTCTTTAAAAATATGGCTTTTACTTCTTTTAACTTATACACTGATTGCCATCATATTGCTAAGGCTTTGCAAGTCCTAGAGACTGTAACATATGTTGATATGGCTAATAAGCAAATACAAGATCTATTTAGAAAGATACAACAAAGTATTCGGAGCTGTGTGCAGCCTTGTTATGTAGGGCATATTAGAGCTCATTCAGGGCTTCCTGGGCCTCTAACTTTAGGGAATGATTTAGCAGATCAAGCCACACATTTGGTTGGGTTAACTCAACAAGAATTGGCTCAGAAATCTCATGCCTTACATCAACAAAATAGTCAGAGCTTAAGAAAACAATTTAATATTACCAGATAAGCCACCAGACAAGTTGTAAGATTATGTTCTTCTTGTCCTGAACATTTTAATGTACCTCAATATGGTATCAATCTTAGAGGCTGGACTCCCAATCATTTGTGGCAAATGGACGTAACTCATGTCCCAGAATTTGGAAACTG